AGGTGCAAAAAAAATCTGCTCTAAATACATGGAGAAGAGATCACTTCCTAGCAGAGCTGGAATCAGGACCCCCCTGACCGTGGTGGCCTGGGATAAGGCTGTAGCTAACACGTAAGTAAGGAAAATGGTGGATAGGCAAGTGTGGCCAACAGCAAACACTCCAGTTCCTCCACTAGAGGAATATGAGAATATGTGAAAGGGGGAAGGAGTGTTTAAAGGGAAAGTATTTTTATTTTAATTTCTCTCATCATTGTTAGCCCAGTATAAAAAAGGGATAACAAAGTGAGAATGACAAGAAATAGGACTGAAGAGGCAGGGACACAGACAGGAAGCTCAGCTTCCAGTCCCAGAACAGGTGCAGCCCTTTGAGCAAACACAGCTAGTTGGTGAAGTTCACGTTCCGTGGCAGGGCCGTGTTCACGGCAGGACACGGAATCTCCTGCGGGACTTAAAAAGCCCCCTGTGGCTCCTGCCAATAGTCGGCAGCAGGGCTCAGGGAAAACAATCATCCATGAGGTTCCCTCCGAACAGGTGAGTGAAGGAGAGGCTAAAGAGGTAATTTAGGAGAGAGATCAAATAGAAATCCTTTTGTAGGTTAACCGATCTAATGATAACTCAGATGCTATATCTCCTATTAAAAAAAAAAATACAGGATGAGAGAGTTGTTCCTGAATAAAAATTTACTATGTGTATATCATACACTTCAAAATAAATTTTAATGGAACATACTACTAAACAAACATCACAGATTCTGTTTTTGCAATTTATACAAATTATGTTAATTATAATACTTTAGGGAACACTTACAAACACAATATTTAACAGTTGTCTTAATATTATTCACCATCCTTAACTTCTGAAAGTTTGGCTTATACTATCTCAAATGAAAACTACTTATAAATCTCATTTTCCCACAAAATTAATTAACCACCCTATTTTAAACATTAAAAATAAAGCTTTGCAAATGGTAAACTGAAACGCATATATCTGCCAAGCTTTAATGAAATAAAAATAAACAACTTACATAACCAGCACCTCATAAAACCAAGACCTCCTTCTGAAGTACAGAGTTCAATCCTTCTTGCCCTCTCATCAACTACTGATCAGAATTAGAATCCTCCTCCCCTGAGGAATTGTCCTGGTTTACAGTGTCATAAAATGTACAGTATTTTTTAACAGTAACAAATTATTGATATGCTATCATGAATAAATAGGTGCTTTTTAGACCAATATGATTCTAGGGAAACTAGGAGAAAAGAATAGCATACTGAAATGATTTATTTAATAGACTGGTAAAAGTGTTATCTATCCTGGTCTACTATTATTAAAATTAAAAATCAAAAGATGAAGTATCATTTCAGACCTATATACATCAAAGATGCCAGTTCTTATAAAAACATACTTTAGTGTAAATGCTGTTATGAAAAAATAATTTATTATCAATTTTATTTAATTTTAATGAACTTCCCCTATCTCTAACATTAAAAACATTAAAAGAACTTAAACTTTAATGGCAAAAGTTCCTATTTTCCCCACCTACTAAAAAAAGGTTTTGTTTTCCCTTATTAACATACAATGCCCTTTTTTAAGGCACAACTTTTTTAATGATAAAAGTGAAACCATAGATTAGGTTTATTTCACACAACAGTTAAAGACAGACTTTTTGTAGACATATAATTAAATACATCTGAATTCAACAAAGATCTAAAATGAAAAATCAGTTTTTCTATCTAGGATGAGTCAACACATAGCCAAGATAGGTAGTTGCAGCTAGAATAACAATCCCAACAGCTGCCGTTTAACCTGTCACGTTGTCTCCAGAAGGCCATCTTCCAGGTGTGATCCAGGGGAGGAGGGCTGGGTATGTTCTTCTCTGCAGTGGCATTACACCTTTCTTTACTTATGCTCGGGCTATCAGAGGTAGCTGTCACCTTCAAAGCCGTTTTTTGAGTAGTTCGTCACTAGAGACCACAGCAGAGTTCCTGACCCTCCAGTCAGGGCAGACGGGAGCTCTGCATCACTGGGCTTCCCACATCTTCTTTCCCACACTCTTGGTAGCCACTGCCCTGCCCCACCTCTTCTGACACAACTTACAAAACACCCAAAGGGAGCACCAGCAAACAAAGAATTTGAACAATTGTTACTTAAACATATAAAGCAAAATGTTTCTGTTACTTCATTATAGTCATGAATAATTATCTGAATATTACTGATTTAAAAATTGAGAAACACTAAAATTGGAGTAAGGAGACAGTCATATACCAAAGACATACATGACTGTCTCAAGGGCCGGCCCTTGTACATTCAACTACAGTGGTGGCTGCAGCAGGAATCTGGAAAGCGTGTGTGCTCTAGAGGCTGCTCCACCCAGCTCTCTCGTGTTTTGTACATTAACATTCTTGAGAGACGGGTTTCAGCAGCCAATCTAGAGAAGAATGTGTACATGACAGAATCTGGGGGAAACATCTAGGCTAGGGAAGAGAAGCAGAGAGAGAAGGAGAATGTCAATGGCAGGAGAGATGGTCATAGGGTAGAGGGCACAGGGGCAGCTGAGGAATACAAGATTAGTCACTGCTTCTACAAATGTGATGCTCAAACTCAATTTTAAGGGGAACTATCCTTTTAAAAAGGGCAAAGAAGAAGAAAAGAGAAGGCTAGGAGCTGGGGAGGTGAGGTCACTAAAAGTAAACTGTACTTATTTTGGTTCTATTTAGAAATGATTTTTTATAATTCTGGAAAATATTACATGCCTTATTCATGGAGGTGTTTACTGATATGTTCTGGCACCATAGTGTCTCACACAAATATACTAGTTCTGCAACATATATTGGCCTTTAGAAACAAAATTTTAAAAAATGAACTTTCCTAAAAATATTTAAAAATAATCGCTAGACTGCACCTAACAATTTAGAAAAATAGTGTAGTTAACTCTTAGCCAATATCTTAATTTTTGCACACAATACATATCCTTCACAAAGTCATTATCTATATGCAGTTAATAAAAATTAAAACTGATTTAAAAAATGAACTGGTTTTGTTTCCACAAAAGCATAAAATTTCCATATAATACTGAAAAAATTCAATGAAATCCCATTTTCTATTTTCTCATTCCATTTCTCTAACTCTGACACAGGACTCTGGCTACAGCACTTGTCTTTGCCATCTCTCCTGGGGAATAAGAGATTTCCTCAACTTACTGCAAGCAAAGTAAAAAAGATGAGGTTTCTCATACTATTTTCAAAATTCTCAAGGCCTGTTTAAATATCGAGTGTTCCAACTACCAAAACTCTGAATACAGTTTCACTGAACAAGAGGCCTATGTAACAAGGCCCAGTACTTCACCAAGTTTCTGACCAGTTCCTACAGATCAACTGAAAACTTCCGTATCATAACTAAATTCAGTTTACTAATGATGAATTAAAGGGCTTTGGACAATGTAACATACAAACCTAAAGTATGCACATTCTACCAGCCTAGAATGTACATTCTTTGGTGAGTTTTACCTCTAAGACAGGAAAATGAATGGAGATGGAAGGAGTAGGGAGAGAGAGGGAGAAGGAAGACCATGAGAAACCTCTTCAGTGTGCTATGGAATACAAGGGCACTGAAGTCACATGAAATAATGTGATTGTTTATATGAAGTTTACCACTACTGCACGGAGAGAAACCACACATCCTAACAAAGATGGTTCACAAAACATGGCTCTAGTTTGATGACATAATGAATACGTCACAATCTTTTTTCCAACTAGATTCTGCAGACTGAATAGGAAAAAATTTCATCAAAGAGTTAACTTTAACCTTCATTATTTTAATCTGAAGGAAAATTATAGAGTATCTCAAAAGTTACTACTTTAATAGTTTGCTAAGGTCAGACATATTTATTAATAGTAAAAGCAATCAGGGCAAAAGCAACGGGACTCGTTCCTGATAATGAGAAACTGCTATACACAAACCTGGGACATTAAAAAAAAAATTACCAAAACAAAGTTTTGGAAAATAATAAAAGCTTGTTCAATTCATGTAATTTCAAGTAACTTTCAATTATAATAGAATCATTTATATTCTTTGAGGGCTTTATATCATATTTTATCCCCCAAAAGAAAATGTATCAGAAATCATACATGCTAATCTGAAACCTTAAACCAAACTTTACAAGTTAAAGTTTGGTTTATTGGTCAGAGGAGAAAGGACAGAACCATTCTTCTTCCATATGGAAAACGAAAAACAACAACAGGATGGCAGAAATGCTAAACTCATGGGCACACACACACGCTCTTTATAAGAACAAAATACACACACATACACAGACACACGGAGAAATTATGATTACAATGAAAACTCGTCATATGCTTATATTTTCCACTAGCTGGTGAACCTGTATTAAATTTTCAAAGAAAACATCAATTTAAGCCTTTTCTATTTTAATCCATAGACTATTCAGTAACATAAATACAACATGTGTTGCATATTAATAAATGTGTGACTTCTTGTGCTTTCTATCCAACTTAAAGGCAAAAATTCCCAATTACTTAATTTTCAATGAGATATAACTATAAAGTTGTATTAAATATTTACACAAAATCAATCTTTCCTTCAGTCCAATTCTATATGAAAGCATTAACAAATAGTGAAAATTCATGATGTTGTGTGAAAATGGTGACTCCTAACAGTGTAGATGTGGCCGTAGATTTTAATTCACAAATGTATATGCGCCTTGTGTATGACAACTGTACGAAAATAGTCTCAAAAATAAAGACAATACTCAAGACACGAAGCAACCCATTTCCCAGATCTTGCATCCTATTACAGGGAAAATAAGTCTCTGATGCTTCATAAATACTTTAAAAAGTTTGGGATGGTGTTAACCATGCAGTCCCACCAATCCTTTGAAGCTTCCAGCACTTCAGCCTAACCATTTCAGCTCTCGAAGAACGGCACCCTGTGATCAGGCACGCTTACTTATGACCTATCTTTTCTAGATCTGGGAGTTTTCTGACCAAAGCCTGGTGGTTCATTCTGATGCTAGCGAGGAGTCCTCCTTCAATGCCATCTGAACCTGTATAACTGATTTCTTCACCACTCAGGGTAGTCATATGCCCCCCAAGGGCTTTTAAGATGGCATTGCCAGCACATATATCCCACTTCTTGATGTATGTCACATGGATATACAGGTCAGCTTTTTCTTGACTCTTATCAGGCACATCCAAGAGTGCTAAGACTTTGTAACCTAAAAGATAAACACAGAAGTTAGGTTGTTCAGAAGATTAAAGCCGCATACTTTTTGATTAAGTATATTGTTAAAAATAACAAGAAAGGGTGTGCAAGAGCTTGCTGTGCTATCTTTCCAACTGCTCCTAAGGCTAAAGTTATTTCAAATTTTAAAAAGTTAAAGTAATAGTATAAGCACTGAACTCAACATAACAAAAATACACTGCAAAATAAGCTCGTCTCAAGTGTAACTAGTACATGCCTATAAGTTTTTAAATACAAATCTACTTTGTAGTTGCTTCGTATGGAACAACAAATTCAGTGTTGCTGTTTTTCGCAGAATGACAAATAATACCTACACATTTCATTTAAACATCTAGGCAGACTTGATTTGAAAGATGAGAACAAAAAATTTAACACTACCACCCCAAGTCCTTTTGTGTAACGAGACAAAATTTTAAAAACAAAATAAAATAACTGCAGAAGAAACTTGGCCTAGAATCTAGTTTATCTCATCCCTGAGTGTTCTGGATATTACCTTTCCTAACCAACCTAACATACAGCCTATGAAATAATAAAAGTGTATTCCGGAAGGCTGGTGTATGGAATCAGCAGATTAAAACTATTAGTCTTAAAAGTTAAAAAACTGTTAATGTCTCTGTTTACGACTGTGCCAAAAAATGTTTTCCAACATAACTGTTTTCTGACCCGTAACTTGTTATTTACCTAAATTGAAACACTTCTGATGTATTAAACAGCATTTATGTGGAAAATCATCAAATAGCCCCATGGGCCAAATTCCAGTCATGGCCTCTGTTTATATGGCTCTCAAGATAAAAACTTTTAAAAAATATTTTTAAAGGTAATTTTAAAAAATCAAAAAATACAATAGTATACAATAGAGACTGTACATGGCTTACAAGGCCTGAAGTACTGTCTCTTTCAGAAAAACTGGGCTGACTTCTCATCTATAATTAGGAAATACAGCAGTGCAGATTACAAGTAAGCTGGGGGACACTACTCTCCTGCTCATCCTAGGCATGCAAATTAAAGACTTCGGGGGTGTTAAAAGTGATCTGGGGATTAATCATCCCCATAATACCTATGATGTCATACAAAACATCCATCTTAAGTGCTTGGTCTTCCTGTCTCTGATATTCCCACAGGTAAACTAATAGAACAATTACTCTGGAAACAGACTGTATATAGTACAAGCACTGACAGTATCACTGATGAAAAAATCCTTCTGTAATAATCAAGGATTACTACAATTGTTTCTTTCTGAAAAGAAAGGCCAGTGTGACTGAAATCCCCCCGAGGAGGAGCCCGCGCCTGTCTGAGAGTGCCTGTTCTCTCTCACTGTGTTCTGTGTACAAGACACAGTCTTAACCATGTCAGAACGCTCTCCGGAATCAAAGGGAAGAGGAACGTACCAGCACCACCAGCGGGGATGATCGTAGTCTGGTTTCCAAAAGTCTGAAGAGCAACCTGTTTAACCATCCCTGAATGGGAACGAGACACAACGATCTTTGGGGTCTTGTCATTGTAGGAAGAACGGGCTTTCACGTTTGAACCACCATCCACCATGGCCCAAGCTGAAAAGCAAGGACAATATCCTTTAATATTATTAAAGCTTTAAAACTAAAAGTTACACTATTTGAAACCCAAAGTACCAAATGATTGATAAAATATTCTCTCCTACAGATTTATATATATTTTTTCTAAAACAGAAAATGTTATCTTTTTAGCTGAGTACAAAAGTAATATTTTATTTACATTAAAATAGACATGTATTAAGACAAACTTTAAAAAGGCCATATAACTCTGCCCAGCCACAGATAATGGCTTTTAAATATTTGGCTCAAGAACACCCATGCTCCAGAGCTGCCCGTGGGGTCCTTACTGAGTCTCCTGGGACTGCTTTGTAATTCAACTTCTCTCTGCATCTATCTAGCTTCCTTCCCTCCCTTCCACAGATTTAATCCCAAGAGCACTCCTTAATTAATACACATCCTGAAGCTGTGGAACCCAACCTGTAACATAAGCACAAGTAACTTCCCTCGCTAATTCAAATTTTAAAATTCATTTTTCTCCTATATTACCTCTACTTCTTATATGTATATCCACGATTTGAATTATTTGCATATTAGCTCAATCTTCTAGGTAACTTTATAAACAAAAAATAGAAGAGATAAATTACATAAATGAGGTTTACATTTCAGCTTTATCAGAGTGCATAAAAAGAAACTGTCCTAGATTTCGAAATAGAATGAAACTTTTTAAAGGGAAGGGGATATCAGTAATAGCTTCAGATATTCTCAGTTTGAAAGTTTTCTTCACTGACTGTCAAACTATATAAGAAAACAACTACTCAGACATATCCCAAGTAGGCTGTTAGCAATCATTCACTACAGGAGGAAATACAGTCCACACTGGCTGGCAATGAAAGCAGCTTCATTGCCAGTTTATTTCTGGCTACAGAAAAAAATAAAAAAGCTTTGTAGAATCTGGGTCTCTGAGTTCCCCAAAGATGATGGCAGTCTCCTGGACTTTTTTCAGACCTCCTGGTAAAAACCACACACAGCAATGAGGAGAGCAAACACAAACACTCATGATCTGTTCCCACAGAGTAAGCAGGAGACAAACAAGACCTCAACATAAATCTACAAGTAAGCAAAGCGTCAACAGTGAGGATCAGCACCACCAGAACTGGGGGATTATGGCAGGAGCTTCGCAGAGCTGCCAAGATGCCAGAGAACTCTCAGAGCTTCAGGCCCTCCCAAGAAGAAAAGGGGAGACACAGAATGCAAGATTAAAACATTTCAGGCTACCTGAAAATTTCCACAATGCAGAGGAAAATGAAAAACTAATATTCCAACATAACTAAAAATAAATAAGTCAGAAAATGTGAAAGGAATGACATGAAACAAAAAAGTAACAGCTCAGAAAAGACAAACAACAGGAAGGTGTGAGATGGGAACTCACATAACACAAGTAAGAAATTAGGGAGGAAAATGGACAAAATCACTGCAGATTTAGTACTGAAAGGATTATGTAGATTTGTTCAAAAGTATAGCAAATGGTGAGAAAAGTAAGACAAAGTGAAACTAATAGTTAAGAGAGTCCAGAGAGAAAGGGACAGCTATGGAAATGAGTGGGAAAAAAGTCAATATACCTATGTAAGGAATTCCTAAAACAGAAAAATTAATGGGATAGAACTAATCTTTAAAATTATGATTCAACGAAATTTTCCTGAAATAAAAGAGGACCTAAATGTCTACACTGAAAGACATACCGAGTACTTGGGTAATGGACCCAGAATGCTAACTCTGAGATACACACTAGCTATATTTTTAGACATTAAAGATAAAGTTTGGTGGGCTGAACAGTGTCCTACCAAACTTCATGTCCACACAGAACCTTCAGAATGTTACGTCATTTGGAAAGAGAATCTTTGCAGCTGTAATTAGTTGAGGTCATTATAGAGTAGGGTGGGTCCTAAGTCTAAGGCTAGGTGTCCTTGTGAGAGAAGGAAAAGAGAAAGAGAGGAGACAGCTGTGTGAAGACAGAGTAGGAGACGGAAGTGACACAGCTACCACTAAGGAGTAACAAGAACGTCTGGAGTCATCAGAATCTGGAAGAGGGAAGGGAGGGAGGAATCTTCCCCTAAGCCTGCAGAGAGGGTGTGGTCCTGTGGTCTCTTGATATTAGACTTACGACCTCCAGAATTCAGGAGAGCAGTCTGGGATAATTTGTTATGGCAGCTCTACGAAACTAATGGAAAGTGAACTAAAGCTGCAGAACCAACCAAGTAGTGTTTCAAGTACCAAGGCCACAAAAAAAGGTTTTAACATGTACTCACGCAATACCACACCCATGAGGTAGCTCTTCTGACGTTATCTATTAGATCAGTGGTTCTCAACCTTCCTAATGCTGTGACCCTTTAATACAGTTCCTCACGTTGTGGTGAAATTAACACTACTTCATGAAGTAGCAATGAAAATAATTTTATGGTTGGGGGTAACCACAATATGAGGAACTGTATTAAAGGGTCGTGGCATTAGGAAGGTTGAGAACCACTGTATTAGAGGGTTTTATTCAACCAAGGGATGACTAAGGAACCCTTAGCAAAAGCACTCTTGGTTAGCAGTGAATAAATTTAACTGGAAACCACAGATGGGAATAAAGTGGAAGGATCAAGATATATACATGTTGCCTCACTGTTGATTGTTGATATTCAGAGGAAATCATTTAGATTTGATGAGCTGAATAATAGTGTTGAAAGATAAATATCAAAACAAGACGCATGTAACAAAATGAGATGGAGGCCAAGAAATCAGCTAAGATATGTAAATAAAATTGTTGCTTAGAGCAGTGAACCAAAAGATCTAAAGAAAAGAATTACATAATGGTACATAGAGAAAAAAGGATATATAAAAGTCTTAGTAAAAGTGAGCAACAAAAAAATTTAACTTCAGAGTAGTAACTGTAGTTTTGTTTGTGTAAGAAGAAAATCAGCCTCAGCAGCCCTGCACCCGCAACTCCTTTACGGAAGAGAAAGCAAAAGCCTCAGGCCCCTGTGAAGAACTGGCCAAAGATCATTCATAATTTTCTTGCCAATTTCCCATTAGCAAAAACATGCAATTTTTTTTTAATTTAAGAAAATACAAATTACACCTATATCTAGCACCAAAACTAAAGCCTACTTTATTCCACACTAATAACTAATTTCAAGTTAACCTTACAGGTAACAGAACTGGAGGTGAGACAGATTCAGACATTCTTCCACCTATCCAGGGACATCTTCTTTCACTCTCCTATTCTAGGTAAGATGTAGACTTCCTGGGCCTCACAAGCATCTAACTACCTCTGATCACTCCCCCACTCCCTCCTTCTCCCTTCTCTCTAGTGCCTTTTAAATGCTGAAGTTTCCACCCTCCTCTTTGGAAAGACACAGTTTGTCTGTGGTTCTCTTTTCCCCCTGGATGTGTTCTCAAAAATCTTGGCTTAATAAACCTTCATTGCTTGATACTTTTGTCTCAGCCATTTATTTGGGTTGATATCTGAATCACACTGAACATATAAAATCCATGAGATCATTAATGCTATTTTTAAAAGAAAAAGTCTGTTCTATTCCTACTATAGGTGGTTTATATCTAACTCCTTATTCTGAAAATGGTAAATAAAAGAATTAAACATTTATCCTGCCATTCTAGAAGAAAATTTATTTCAGGATAAACAACTCCAGCTAACAGAGAAAAGTTATCCATAGAAAAATTCATGCTAATAAATGTAAAAACATAACATAATTATAAGATCTGATTTTACAGTATCTTTAATAGATGTAAAAATATTATTTGAAAGGTTAATGGACACTGGATCTCAAATGATATCTCTCAATGACATCTATATCCAAATTACCATCCAAAGAATGGTACTTTGAATTACCATCCAAATTTCTGGCACAAAGTAAATCAAAATCATTTTATAATGAGGGATCTGGTCATGAGCATCTGAGCATCATTAATGGTGAGACAAAGATACTGCTGTATGCCATGTAATATGTAGTCGTGGGAAACACGGGAATACCTATGATGTGTTCTTAACAAAAACGTTTAACCTCATTCCAATCACGTCTTCAGATCTAATGTGTACTTTATAAGAAAAAGAGGATATAAAAATAAGTTAAGTGACACCTGAGGAAACAATCCGACAAATCCAAAAGGCAGAACACTCTACAGAAGAAACAAGTGAATGTCATGGGAGGACAAAGGGCCGGGAGGTTGCTCTACACTAAGAGACCTTAACAATAACAACCTATCACCCCCCAAAATGCTTGTCACTTGAGTGCATCTCAGTTTGAGAAATATGAATAATAGATGCCACATTATTACATTAATAGCATTATTCTCATGTACCAAAATGGCTCTATTTTTTAGAGATTTGTACTAAAGTATAGGGGCAAAATGTTATTATCCATGCAACTTTTTAAAAAATATACAGACCAAAAAAAAAAAGCAAATACATGAAAATGTTATCAAATTTTAAATCTTAATGAAATAATGAGTAATCATTATATTTTTATTTGAATTTATTTATAATAAAAGTAAAAAAAGAAATGAGGAAACAAAAAAAACTCCTCAAATTATTTTTATAAATGTTCAAAAAACATGGTTTTACTAAGAAGTGAATTTACAATATTGTAACTCTAGAGGTCAGTATTTTGTAAGAGAATAAAGTAGTATACCTCAGTAGATTCTACCAGAAAAATTTTAGATAAGAATTACTAACTTAATATTTTAAAAATTGTATTTGCTACAGTCAATCATTAATACTTAGGTGAACACAATTTTTTAAGTGCTTAAAAAAATACAGTAGGTGCTTAAATAAGTATAAATGATTGATAATGATAAAATATTAAAATAGTAGCTATAAAATATTTTTATTTTACCTGTAAGAAATGCTAAAAAGCCCAGTAGTAAATAAAAAATGGTTGGTACTTTCCTTCACAGAATCCAGACATTATAACTTATTATTAATAGCTATAAATTTCCACTGGGTAAATGTGAAGTTGATCCTTGAACAACTTGGATTT